AAGGCCAGCAGTTGTCACCTGTGTCCCTTCTCTCACCTCCATCCCCTGTGGTTACTTGAGAAAGGAACCATTGCTGGAAGCAGACCACAGCCACCCTGGTCACCTCGACACCCAGTCCCCAGGAAGTCACATTCCTCAGGACAGCCTGCTCTGCTTTTTACTTTAGAAAGGTCTCTTATTGGGTATAGTTTATTCTAGATTACTATAGAACATTGTTTAGATTTATAATATGCTTTAAAAGTGTTTTGATTTTTAAGGAAAAATGTGAGGCTTTGGTTAGAACACAGTGCAGTTTATTATCTGTGATATTGAAAATCTGCACTTTTCTCTAACATGTGCTATTTGTTCTAGAATAAGAAGGTTTATGGGATTTTTTTTTTTTTTTGGTAATTATAACATCCACCTCTTGAGAAGTCTAGTTATAGTCGTCTATTAATCTGATAAATTTTTAACAATTGTCCTCTTTCAAGAAATAGTGGGACTTCCCTAGTGGTGCAGTGGATAAGAATTGGCCTGCCAATGCAGGGGACACGGGTTCAGTTCCTGGTCCAGGAAGATTTCACATGCTGCAGAGCAACTAAGCCCATGAGCCACAACTACTGAGTCTGCCCTCTAGAGCCCATGACTCACAACTACTGAAGCCCATGCGCCTAGAGCCCGTGCTCTGCAACACGAGAAGCCACCTCAATGTGAACCCTGTGCACTGCAGCTAGAGAGTAGCCCCGACTTGATGCAACTAGAGAAAGCCCCTACAAAGCACAAAGACCTAGTGCAGCCAAAAATAAATAAATTGATAAATAATTTTTAGAAATAAAATAAAGAAATAGTTGATACAAAAAAAAGAAATTGCTGATGATTAAACAGGTTTCCCAGTAGTCATGTATAGATGTAAAAGTTGGACCATAAAGAAAGCTGAGTGCCAAAGAATTGATGCTTTTGAACTGCGGTGTTGGAGAAGACTTTTGAGAGTCCCTTGGACTGCAAGGAGATCAAACCAGTCAATCCTAAAGGAAATCAGTCCTGAATATTCACCGGAAGGACTGATGCTGAAGCTGAAGCTCCAATACTTTGGCCACCTAATTCGAAGAACTGACTCATTGGAAAAGACCCTGATGCTGGGAAAGACTGAAGGCAGGAGGAGAAGAGGATGACAGAAGATGAGATGATTGGATGGCATCACTGACTCAATGGACAGGAGTTTGAGCAAGCTCTGGGAGTTGGTGATGGACAGGGACGCCTAGCTTGCTGCAGTCCATGGGATCGCAAAGAGTTGGACATGACTGAACAACTGAACTGAACTGAAACAGGTTGAAGCAAGAAATTGCTGATGATTAAACACATTGAAGCAAGAGATGTATTTAGTGCAAAGAGACAGAACTTATGATGTAGATAATGTCCATCCTCACGTTGAGAATGGATTCCCTTCTGCCATGGTTACAGTAGGATTTTAGCTCAAATTTCCATTCTTGCCATCTCTTTCCCGCTAAAATTGGCTAATAGAACTTCTTTGCATGTAAAATATCTTAAGCACCAAAGTCTTCTAGTTTAGTTTTTCTTTCTATCTGGAAAGAACATTGAAGACTGTTTCCAGATATTTTGCACTGGCAAATGTAGATTTTTCTAGCAACAGGACGCCTATCTAAGATGCATGACTTGCCTTTAAAAAAAAATCAATGAAATTTCATTTTCCCCGTGAAAGTATTTGTTCTGGAAGCTGCACAGGGTTGCACAGTGAGTGGGTCGTCTGCGGAAGTCAGCGCCCTCTCAACCAGTCCCGCCTTTGCCTGGGGATTGTCCAGAACCCCGCCTCCTGGCCACGCCCCCGCCTCGTGGCCGCGCCCCCTCCCCAAAACCGCCCTGCAGGGTCTGAGTGCTGTAGAATTGGTGAATTCTACTGATCTGTGTGCTGAGTCACTTCAGTCTCTTCCGACTCTTTGTGAATAAAACACTAAAGTATATAAATTGTTTACTTTAAAAAATTATAAGTAAATGAGAGAGAAAAAGTTAGACACGTTAATAATACCATCATCCAGTGTCTTCCTTCTAAGTCTTTTATGCTGCTGCCGAGTAATCTTCTGATGTGCCAATAACAGTTGTGATACTTGGAAAGTTCCTTACACTTTCCTTGTCTTCAGAATCTGAGCTAGTGGTTGTGTGTGAGATTATCCCTTATTATAGATACATCTCTCCCACTTCAAAACAAACAAAACACAAATAATAGCCATTGCTTGGAAAATGTCAGAGTTTAATGAAACAAAGTCAAGCTAGTTACCTTCAGCAGTGAAAGAATTTTTGCTGACACTTGACATCTAGTGGCTTTCCCTGGACGGGCCCTGGAAAGGCACGGTGAGCCCCAGGGCACTCTCACCTACTGGGAGCGGGATGTATGTCTAGCTGTTTGCTGTCACTTCCTCCCAGCTGTCCATGGCCACCAAGGGAGCGCAGCCGCTCTCAAGCTTCGCGATCCACCCAAGAGATGACCATTCCAGACAAGCAGTTCTCAGACAAGCAGTGAGCAACAGTGAGATGATGAACTCAAGGCTTGACATGGATAGAGGCGTCATAACCCTGGCCCAGCACATAGAACACAAGTGGGTTAACAATGATGGCAACAATGAAACTTCAAGCAAATGCGCCGTTAAAACCCTTGCATAATTGTAGCAGGCTTGAGTTTCCTGCGCTTCGAGTGTTCTTGCCTCTTTGATAATCAGACGATCTAAAGAAAGGCATAGAATTTCAGGGGAGAATCTGCAGGCCAGACTCACAATGAGGCCATTCACGGGGCTCTTTCATTAGCCTGCACGGTATCGGCATCACGATTCGTCTCTGGCTTCACTACAAGGCTCCATTTAAACCCAACCCAACTCGCAGACTTAACTGATCCAGGAATTACTCAATACAGCCCGCCAGCTACTGTAGCTTTTCCCCTTTGATAAGGGGTTTAACACAATGGGCTTCACAGTTCTTAAATGACTCCACTTTTTTCATCCTGTCTTTGAGATGTGGTGCTTATGTGACCTTTTGTTCTGAATAAAATTTCACGTGGTGTGACTATATTTTTTTAAACTACTAACAGACGCAATAGTGATGCCTTACCCACAGAGGAAAGCTTTTAAAACCTTGTAGATGGTATAGAAATGAAATTCATGTCATAATATTTACCCAGCTAACTTCACTCTATTAGATTATTAGATATTATTAAACTTGAAAATATTTTATTTTGGGGGTGATTCTGATAAAGTTACAAGCAGTACTTCTGCATTTCGCGTCGACTTTTGCACACTGCTTGTTGTCTTCTGGTTTGTGCAGTTTCTGCCTCCACAGTGCTGATAGAAGGACCAGGGCACCCTCAGCAAGTTCCTGGTGGGGAGGGTGGTGGAGAGCCTGATCTCAGAGTGGGAGACCCTCAGGAATGAATGTATTTGGCCACAAGCCATCGGGAGTGCGACTGGCTCCCATCGCACCCCAGAACTGTGGGTCTTAGACTTCAGTGAACATAAGTCATCAGAGTGATGGATAAGCATGCAGGTACCCAGGCCCCATGCTGAGTCTGACTCAGTACGTCTGTGGTGAGGGCTTGAGGATTTGCATGGTTAACAGTTGATTCTATTATCGGACCCCACTAGGAACCATTACCCCAAATTCACTGGGGACTGTGGGAACTCAGGGACCGTCGTTAGTAGGAGTGACCCCTGGTGGGATTTCCTGGGGCAATGCTGGGAGGGGAGGGCACACCTGAAGGACAAGCTAGCATCCCCTTCTGTTCCCCGTCCCTCCACAGCAGGGCAGCACCCGCCCTGAGCATCCAGTTTTCATGGACCTGCCTGTGGACCTGTGTTTGTGCGTCTGAGAACGGCTTCCCACCCCACCCCCACTCTGTGCATAATTTGAATTTCTGAACCGTCATTATCTGTGGTATTTAATCCAAATTCGCTATTCTACCCTCCTCTGTTGCCCCCTTATTAAAATAATTTCAGGTTTTTAGTAACAAAGGTCTTTTTCAAAGGATTTCTGATTAGAAGTGGACTCTCAAAAAGCCTTTTGGGAATTATGGATGTAGCATGTTTGCTCATTTCATGAAGATAAGATTTTTCCTTGAAGATAAGTTGATCTGATGATCAGGACACACAAGTGGTGGTGACTATTGTTGATATTCATACACTTTGCCTGCAGTGCTGTTGGGTGTGCTGTTTGTAGAATCCACCCCCATACAGTTGGAGGGCTTTTTTATTATGAGAATTTTCAGCCTGACACAGAACTAGAAAATACAGTTCCCATATATGCATCACACAGTTCCCAGAGTTACCAAGATCTGTCGTACTTTTTGACAGCTATTTTTTTCCTGTTCTTAAATATTTAAAAAATTTTTATTTTTGTATTTTGTATAGTTCTTTTTAAATTTATTTTTAATTGGAGTATAATGGCTTTACAATGTTTTGTTGGTTTCTGCTGTACAATGAAGTGAATCAGCTATCCCCTCTCTCTTTAGCCTCCCTGCCACCCCCCCATCCCACCCCTCTAGGTCATCACAGACCACTGAGCTGAGCTTCCTGTTTTACACAGCAGCTTCCTACTAGCTCTCTGTTTTACACAGGGTAGTGTGTATATGAGGGCTTCCCCAGTGGCTCAGATGGTAAAGAATCCACCTGTAATGCAGGAGACACGGGTTCTATCCCTGGGTCGGGAAGATCCCCTGGAGGAGGGCATGGCAACCCACTCTAGTATTCTTGCCTGGAGAATCCCATGCACAGAGGAGCCTGGCAGGCTACAGAGTCACAAAGAGTCAGACACAACTGAAGCACCCGAGCATACACACTGTATATACGTCAGTGCTGCTCTCTCAGTTCCCCGCTGTGTCCACAAGTCCGTTTTCTACCAGTTCTTGAGTGTTGCTGGTGGTTTTCTAATTGGCTCATTCTGGGAATGATGCAAACACAAGATGCTTTGCTTGGGCTTGAGTGTGGCAAAGCTGCGTGGTAACGTGAGGTTGTCCTATTTAGGAATGTGTCCCGGAGAACCTGGAGATGAAACGGAAGCTGTTCGCTCAGCTGGACAAAATCACCGATGACCACGTCGTCTTGAGCAGCTCCAGCTCATGCCTGCTGCCCTCCAAGCTGTTCGCTGGCTTGGCACACGTGAAGCAGTGCCTGGTGGCCCACCCCGTGAGTATGTCCAGCCTGGAAACCCAGCAAGTCTCATTTGGGGTTTCCAGGAGCAATTCGTCTCGATGAAACTGCTTGTGCTTTTTAACTGCTTTCCTGAGATGTAATTCATATATCACACAATTCAACTTGTACAGTCTAATGGCTTTTTAATATATTTAGCGAGTTGGATGTTATCATCATTTTAAAAAGAATTTTATCCAGAATTTCTTGAGTTGTATCTTGTATCTCATGCATTGTGAAAATGAACAAATCTTACAGACTTCTGGCCTCAAGTCACTCACTGTCACAGGCCTGGGGTGCTGTGGTCAGGTCGGCTCCCACCACCTGAGTTGATCTAAGACAGGTGGGACATGTGCTCAGGTGGGGTATGTGCTTGGGGTGGGTGTGAGAGTTACATAGTTACATACTATGCATAGTTAGAACTATGACTCGGGGAATGGGGAGGCCACGTGTGGTCTCAGAGCTCCTGTGGCGCCGTGTCTCCTGGGGGGTCTGAGTGGGCAGAGGGAGGCCGGCTGCCAGGGTGGCCCGGGGGCAGCAGGGCTTAAAGGAAGTGTGGGCAGGAAGTCTGCAAGGCAGCCTGCGAGCGAGACTGAGACAGGAGCGAGCCAGATGCACAGAAAGATGCCTTTTACCTGTTTGTCCTGACCTGTGTTCTGCCCCTACAAGGCTCACAGCACTGCAGAGACCCCAAGCCCAGCATCCCTGTCTTCCTGTAAAGAGAAGTTCATTATAGACAGACATGCTCCCAGTTCTTATAATTCTGATGTTTAAAAAGGCCAGAGGTCACACGTCTCTGGAAGGAACTCAGTGACTCCAGGCAGGGGGCCAGTGAGTCAGCCAAGAATTAATTTATAGTTTATTTGAAGTAGGTACTCCCCCAGGACAGGCTGGGAGCAGAGGAAACCTCCAAGGTGTGAGGGCCAGCTGCCCCTCCAGGCTGTTCCAGGGGAAATACTTTCTTCTCTCTCCTGTGGAAGTCATTTTAAAATGGATACCTCTTGTACTTTTTGGTAAATGTGAGATTTTTACCCATTTTCACCCATACTCAGAGGAAAAACAACTTAAAATACAAAATTCTTTGGGGAAAGAGTTTAGCAAACGTGCATCTGCTTAGTGGTGAGGGTTGTCAGTAGCCTTTTGTCAAATAGCATTTTCTTTAGAGGTAGGAGAACTCTCTCTGAGAATCTTCAAGAAGGATTTCTCAAAGTAAACCAAGAAAACCAGAGCCAAGAAGCCCCAAGAAAACCAATGCTGGGCAGGCAAGCCATCCTACCGTGGGCAGACTCTCTTCCTGTCTCAGACGACACTCAGTACTGAGGCTCTAGGGCGTTGCCTTGTGACTCGTGGGTGAGATTTGATCAGGGGAGCCAATATTTGAGGCTCAGCATGGAGACATTAAGGGAGTTCCAGGTTTGGGGAAGATACTGCCCATGGCACCGATGCAGTAGAATGGCTGTGACTCATGTGGGAAGAGGAGGCTGGGCGAAGGTGGGGAGAAGCCCGTGAGGACAGCTGATGGCACAGCCGGGAGGTCAGCAGTAAATGTGCAGGGGCCCACTGGCACCCGTGAGCTGGAACCTCAGGGTTGGTTACAATTCCTGTAGTTCTGTGCCCAAGTTCTTTCTTTGTCTGCCCTCTTTGTGAATGACTTTATTCCTCCAGTTTCTTGTCATCGGATGGGCCTCTCATTCCTGTGTCGAACCTGCCTCCCACCCACCCTGACCGCTCAGGATTGTGAATGACACCCCAAATGCCAGAGCCGTCTTCTCAACTCTCTCCGGCCATCTCTCTCCCCAGGTCAACCCACCGTATTACGTGCCACTGGTGGAGCTGGTCCCACACCCAGAGACGGCCCCCGCCACCGTGGACAGGACCTATGCCCTGATGCGGAGGGTCGGACAGTCCCCGGTCAGGCTCCTGAGGGAGGTTGACGGCTTCGCCCTGAACCGCCTCCAGTATGCGGTCATCGCTGAGGCCTGGCGGCTTGTGGAGGTGTGTGGCTGGGCTGCAGCCCATGGCTGAGCAGGGGTCGGGGGGGTTCGGGGGGTATGAGGGGCAGGAGCAGAGAACCAGGCGCTCCATCTGTTCCAGAGACCAGGGGAAAGCCCTTCCTCTCAGAGATTCCTCTGTACCACCAGTCACCTGATACTTGCACATGATGAGGATTTCTATTCTTGCCCTTTCCTGTCATTTCCACACCATTTTCTCTGTGATGTGCTGAGTTTCCCCATGGTCACAGTACCACCCCCAGTGGTACTGTTTTTCAAGAGGAAAAAAAAATTATATTTTGAGTAAACTTGTGTCCTTTAAAGGAAGAGCTTGAGGAAGAAACAGTGGATGGCTTTTAAACTTTTTAGTTCTATGCTTGTCTCACATATAGAGAGGAGTTTATTTATATATATATATACACCTATATATTTACGTATGGACTTCCCAGGTAGTTCTAGTGGTAAAGAACCCACCTGCCAATGCAGGAGACACTGGTTCGATCCCTGGGTCGGGAAGACCACCTGGAGGAGAGCATGGCAACCCACTCCAGTATTCTTGCCTGGAAAATCCCATGAACAGAGGAGCCTGGCGGGCTACAGTCCATGGGGTTGCAAAGAGTCAGACACGCCTGAAGTGACTTAGCACACAGAGGTTTGTCAGTTTCTTGAAAAGAAGGTTTTTTGTTTCACTGACTTTTTTCCCCCTTACGATTTTCCTGCTTTTCATCTCACTAACTGTGGATGGAGGGTGTCCCTTCATCACAAGCAGGAGAGAGAAATTCTAAAGGAGACAGAGTGGGAGGGTGGGGCCGCTACTGCGGGCCTGTCGTAGTGGGGAACAAGGTGGGACATGACCAGGGGAGGTGGGCAGGAAGGGGCTCCACGGGGCACATGGTCCCACCCCCGGCCGCGACTGCACGAGGCTGGTGGGCGCTCACAGCCGCTCGGTCCTTTTTCTGTTGCCCGTTTGGCTGCAGAATTGGGCCGGAGCAGCCCTAGTTGGCTGGGAAACGCTGACGACTGCAACCTAGGGGCCCGAGGTTAGGTCCGTGGGTGATGGATCCTGTTGCTGGGAAAGTGCTTTTCAGCCCATCCTTTTAAGCTGATGGGCACGATGAGGGAAGAAGTGTTGAGATGATAGACTCTTGCCCAGACAGTGGCTGAGCTTGCACTGCCCGTAAATTCCTGTCCTGTTGCAAGAGGGTCGTGGAGGCAAGCGGGGGTGAGTCACAGAGCTGCCGAGGATTCTCAGCTCATTGGAATGTGTGGGTGGTAATGAGTTTCAGACTGCTGACCTCAGGTGGTGTTCATGCTTCTGAGAAACAGAACCTCCAAGTGGATATCTGCCCGTGGGCCCTGAGCTGCAGGGCTTCCATTCTAGTGTCCGGTTTGGGACGTGAGGTCTGTGGTCCATACGGGAACCTTGGAAAGAGACCAGGCCTCTGTGGCCCAGCTTTATTCTGGACATGGATGCAGCCGCTGTGAGCACTGCTTTCAGCTATTAAGGTGCATCTCAAAGGTCACGTGGTAAAATGAACAGACCAGGCTTTCTGTGGTAAACTCCATCAAGCGTTTCTGTTGAGTGTAGTTTAGGACAGTGCAGTGTTTCCCTGCAGCAAACTTTAATCAAGTCTAATTGCTTACATACCTGATACCACATGAACACAGCTGTTTTTTTAAATACATGTTCTGTTTTTCTATTTTTGGCTGTGCTGGGTCTTTGTCTAATAAATGCTTTCATTTATTTTTCTATTACTGACTGTACTGGATCTCTGTTGCTGCTCAGGCTTTTCTCTAGTTGCGCTGCAGGAGCTTTTCATCTTGGTGGCTTCCCTTGCTGTGGAGAAAGGCTCTCGACTGTTCGGGCTCCAGTAGTTGTGGAACACGGCCTTAGTCATTCCTCAGTATGTGGGGTCTTCCTGGACCAGGGATCAAACTGGTGTCTCCTGAATCAGCAGGTAGATTCTTTACCTCTGAGGCCACCCAGGGAAGGCCAACGTTGATTTTTTAAAACGATTTAATTTGCTTTCACTTAAAACACAAACATGTCTGAACAACGAACGCTAGTTTTCTCTGCTCCCCCCATCCCGCCCCATCCGCCAGACGGCACCTCCCTTGTCCCGCTGGCCTCCTGCTTGGCATCTTGGCATCGTGGTGCAGCCTTTGATTTCAGGAGTGGAAGTGCAGATGGCAGGCTGCTTTTCCTCATCTCCGTCATGTGAACAGAGGGTCCCTCCAAAGGTGGCGGCCGGATGGCGCAACTCCTCAGGCCTGAGAGGAAGTCCCTTCTCCGGTCATTGCGAGTCTGGTGCTCCTGGGCCAGATCTGCTGCTGGGTGGTGAGCTCCCGGCCTCGTCCTGAGAGTGTGCTTAGACCGGGGGGAACAGCAGCTCCTTGACAGAGGGGGTGGCTGGGGGAGGTGGTGCGGCCCAGGGAGTCTGGGGGTGAGAGGACCCGAGGCTGTGGATGTTCGAGGAGCGCTCACACTCCTCTCGCTTGGGCTGTGATCACCTGGAGGCAGGAGGTCCTTGGCTTTCTTCTCTCCTTTCAGAGCCAGGGTCAGTGTGCGTGCTCCTAGTTCCCCAAGTCCAAGTTCATCCAGGAAGTTTACCACTCACACACGCGGCCTCTGAGAAGTACCTTTACTGAGTCCAGGGGTGGTGGGGGAAGTTTTTTCCACGAATATCACCCTGAGTGGGTTCCCTGCAGCCCAGTAAGTGCAGGCCCTCCCAGCTGTTCTGGAATGAAACCGGAACAAATGGACGGTGAGGAGGCGAAGGAAAGCACAGGCCCAGGCTGAGCCACACGCTCCCCGGCCCTGGATCAGGGAGGCTGCAGCCCCAACAAGAGGAAGCAAGTTCAAAGCTTGGCTCTGGGTGGTGGGTGTGGGGCTGGTTAGAAGGTTTCTTCAGAGGAAGGGCTGCTTCAGCTTGGCTCCCCTGGTGTGTGGCCAGAAGGGAAAAGCAGAGGCTTGAGTGAAGTGCTGCTGAACAGACCTTGGCGACACCCATCTGTGTATTTGGCAGGGAGATTCATGTAGAAGGATGCGAGGGAAATCAGAGGAGCCAAGAAGAAGCTGGGCTCCTGCCTCCATGCCACCACGCCCTCTGCCGTAGGCCTCTACATTTTATGTTGTCTAAAATTTAAGCTTGAAGGTTTAGGGGTTGGGAATTCCTTGGTGGCCCAGTGGTTAGGGCTCCGCACTTCCACTACTGAGGGCCTGGGTTCCATCCCTGGTCTGGGAACTAAGATCCCACAAGCTACATGCCCCCTCCTCCCCCTCAAGAAAAAGTTTAAGAGTTAAAAAAAATAAATTTATGGTCTACTTATTTGGCTATGCTGTACAGCTTGTGGGATCTTAGCTCCCCAACTAGGGATTGAACGCGGACCCCCAGTAGTGAACATTCAGAGTCCTAACCACTGGACCACCTGGGGACTCCTACCATCCTCCAGATTAACCGACACCTGCTTTCTCAGCTGTTAGTTGGAAGAGTCTCCTGTCAGTGGCCTTTCATTCAGAGGTTGATGGAACGGGAGACATTTTTTGTTATAGGATAGGTCTGGAAGGACCCCATGGTCTCAGCATTTTTAAGAAGCTCCAGAACTATATCAGAAGCACACCCACGGCTCAGCAAATGTTTAATGTCTTGCACTGACCACTGGGAGCCAATCAGAGAAACTAGAGGTCACTCATAGCTGACCTGAGTTATTCCACATGTGACAAACTGTAGAACCGGAAGGCTACAGGAGCTTTTCTAAGGCCAGTGGTGGTTTTGCGCAGACTCGGGCTTCCCGTGTAGCTTAGACGGTAAACAATCTGCCTGCAGTGCCGGAGACGCGGGTTCGATGCCGCGTCAGTTAATTAGAACTCTTCCAGCAGCAGTGGTCTGTAAGAAGTAGACCATTTTTATAACAGTGTTTACTGTTTTATGGGAGGTGACTTTCTGAGTAGCCACAGTGGCGAGCAGTAAAGCCCTATTCAAAGGAGACATGCTGCTGATGTGTTATTTTAGAGACAACTCCAGCCCCATTAACAGATAAACATAATGAAAACACCGACCACACATTTCAATTAAAAAAAAAAAAACCTGTCTGGCATGCCTGGGGTTACTCTAACAGTGTTTAAAGCAAAAGCATTTATGCTAGTGTTCTAACAGCTCTGAAAAAAAAAACAAAGTGAGGTGCTGTTACTCTTAACACCTGACTGCGTGTCCTGTCCCACAGGTGCTCGGGCAGTGAGAGGTTTCAGCTCCTCTGGTGTGAGCTGACAGGCAGGCCGGGGGCCCCTGGTTGGGGTGGGGGGTGGGGTGGGAATGTGTCCCCAAGAGAGGAGGCAGAGAAGGGGGCCACAGGTAACAGCTGGACAGGAGCCTATTCATCCCGCCCCCAGTGCAGGCTGGAGCTGGCCCTGGAGGTCTGAGGGGCAGAGACTCGGTTGTGTGTGCCTGCTTTGGGGTGGGGCTTTCACTGCTTGATTCAAAGTGAAAGTGTTAGCCCCTCAGTTGTGTCCGACTCTCTGCGACTCCCATGGACCTTGGAATTCCTCAGGCAGGAACACTGGGGTGGGTTGCCATCAAACCTCTCTGTAAAGAGCTTCGTTCCCGAGGACCCTCAGTCCCAGCCTCACCGAGCCCCAGTGCACTTATATTTGCACAAACAAGAGATTTTGCTGTGAATGGTTTTAAGGTTCAGACTTTTTGTTTCTATTGGCCTCTTTACCACTGGTGTTTTTCTTCCTGAGAGCTTTGTTACGAGAGAAGTGGGTAACACCGCTGTAGCCCAAACAGCTCTGGACTGTCCCTTTGTTGTTCAGTTGCTCAGTCGTGTCCGACTCTTTGCAACTGCATGGATTGCAGCACGCCAGGCTTCCCCGTCCTTCACCTTCTCCTGGAGTCTGCTCAAGTTCATGTCCATTGAGTCTGTGATGCCATCCAACCATCTCACCCTTTGTCGTCCCCTTCTCCTCCTGTCTTCAATGTTTCCCAACAAGTCAGTTCTTCGCATCAGGTGGCCAAAGTATTGGAGCTTCAGCATTAGCATCAGTCCTTACAATGAATATTCAGGGCTGATTTCCTTTAAGACTGTCCCTTAGATCGGCACTAAGTCTTTCCTCTCCTTCCCTTTCATTTTTTGGGTTATTTCCACTTAAGGCTTTATTCTCAAAAATACTCACAGGGAAAATACCACTTCTGTTCCCCACCCTGAGTTAGATTGCTTTTATTTTCTGCATTCTTGTCTAGTCTGTGTTGAGAATACTTTCCTTGAGTTTGTGTTCATTTTTAACAGCTTCGTGGTATTTTGTTTCATTGATCTTTTTGAAAAAAAAATCTAAGCTTTCCCCTGTTGTAGGATGTTTTAAGGTCATTTCAGGTATTCTGCCTTATGGTGCCTCTTTGTACGTCAGTCTCCTTCTCTGGCTCCTTCTCCCAGGACGACTAGGGCAGCAGGGCCACCTGTCTGAAGGGATACCTTACCGGGGGTTGGGCCCGCCTGGGCCCGCACATCCCAGGGGCCCTGCCAGCTGGAATAGTCCTCTCCGTGTCTCTCATCACATCCCCCCACCCAGGATCCTGTCTGAGGCTCTTTACACAGGGGCGGGAGGGCTATGATCTAGTGCCCTGTTGCATCAGCTAAGCATGTTCAGTCAGCTCATCTCCAAGGTGCTCGGAGCCCGGTCATCCCGAAGGAATGGCCCCGCCCCGCTTTCCAGAAAACGCACAGCTCATGGACTGCCAGCCTCGGGTGATGAGAGCTGGCCGGCAGCACTGGGCCGTCCTCCCTGTGAAGTCCTATGAAGTCCTGTCCTGTCCTTGCCCCACCTCCTCCAGGAAGGAGCTGTGGGTGGGGACGGGCAGAAGGGACATCTTTCAGTCTTGCTCTGGAGCCAGTTTCGAGGTGCACGTCAGACACGTGGTGCCTGGCAACGAGTGTAGAGAGGAAACACGCAAGTGTGTGTGCATGGAGGGAATGAATTCATGGCTCCAGGTGCTTCCTCATGAGAAAAGCCGGCCTGCTTGTCACCGTGGTAGTTCTTAATTTAAACTCCACTGTCTGTAACTGCCTTGCTCTGAATCCGGGGTCTGTACGGGCTGTGGAGTTGGACTTTCTAAAGGCGGGCCCGGTGCCCCCTGTTGAGCCTTACCGTCTTGCATTAGGGTCATTCCCATCTGGCTCGAGCTTGATCGTCTCTGGGGATCGGGGGTTAAGCCTCAAGGGGCCTCTTTCCCTGAGACCCTTTGTCCTGAGTCTCTGATGGGGGTGATGCTGGACCATCTCAGGTTTCACTCATTTTCACCTTCAGATACAGAATTTCATTGTCTAACATGTAACAGTAAAACGTTTTTTTGCCTTGGTCAAAACGCTGGATTGAAGCCTGGATGGCTCTGGTTGTGGGCTGGGAAACTTGTATATAACTTTGTCCCGATTCCTGGGGGGCAAGTGAATTCCTGGTGGTGGTGATGCTGGCTGAGGTGGAGAAGTGTTTGCACAAGAAAAACTTGAAAATTTAGGACCACGTGTGGTGAAAAGTAGAGCAAAACAAAGTAGAAGAAGATCAAGAGCTGGGAATTAGTAATTTCTAGAAAAGGATAAAAAAAAAAAGAGACCAGGAAAGATGGCAGGAGAAACGTGAGAAAAGTAAGTGAATATGAGGGCATACCAAAATACATGAATTAAATGAGAGAATTTAGTAGGAAAATGGGCTGATTAGAAGGAAGACTATTTCTGTAGCTGGTGATCAGTAGAGGAAATAGTCCCCGGGCTTGCCTCACTCAACACATTTTGCATCCCTGAACTGTGCACGACCCCCAGGACCTCCCCCTTCTTCTTTGTCTCCCCAGGTCCAGGCCAAGTCCCACAGTGGGTATTTTAGAGATGTCTTCCTGCCTCCTCTCCCTGCCAGACCCAGGATGCCCGAGGGTTCCATGTGAGGGTCGGCTGAGCAGAGGGCCGGTCATTCTGTCACACACAGTGCTGACGGTGTTTGATATATGTGATTAGCATCTAGTCAGCTGACTCAAGTAAGGACATTGTTCTCAATAATCTGGGCAGACTTCATCCAATCAATTGAATGACCTTCAGGGCAGAGCTTAGGTTTCCACCAGTCAATCCTAAAGGAAATCAACCCTGAATATTCACTGGAAGGACTGATGCTGAAGCTGAAGCTCCAGTACTTTGGCCACCTGATGCGAAGAACTGACTCATTGGAAAAGACCCTGATACTGGGAAAGATTGAAGGCGGGAGGAGAAGGGGCTGACAGAGGATGAGATGGTTGATGGCATCACCAATTCAGTGGACATGAGTTTCAGCGAGCTTCAGGAGATGGTGAAGGACAGGGAAGCCTGTCCATGGGGTTGCAAAGAGAGCCAGACACAACTGAGCGACTAAGACACAAAGAAGTCTACCTCAGAAAATCCATATAGAGCAGAAAGAAGCAGTTAGGAAGAGGAGGCATGAAGACTTTTCCCTTTTCTAACTTGTTCAGCTAATGAATAGTAACTGATAAAAACCTGACTGCCCTCCGTGAATGAAGCAGGAGGGAAGGACCCAGAGCCCGGAGGAGGTATGGGTCCTCCGGACCTGACGGTGTTGGGTGGTAGGAAGCCCTCTGACCCTTTGTCTAGTCAGATCACTGTCCCCGCTCATGACACAAATCAAGAATTAACTGCTCTGGGGTGGCTCACTTTGTAGGTGTTTTGAAATCTTTGGAAGTCAGCTCTGAAAGTGTGGAACGTAGTTGTGGAAGAAGAGAGCCAAGGCAAATAGCATCGCAGGTCAGGCTGGCCTCTGGATCCACATCCCTCACAGTTTGGTGCTGGAATGAAAACCCCAGGCTGTTGGAATGTTGACCCAGGGACCAGGGCTGGGGGGTTGGGAGTCAGCCATCCCCGCCTGGCTGCCTCTCACAGCATCCCAGGGGCCAGGGCGGCCCTGGGACAGGACCAACGGAGACGTGGCCTGGGAGGCGGGGCACCTTGCCATCCAGCAGTCGTTTCTGGTGGTTCTGGGCGGCCCCACAGGCCTCGTGTGCGCTGTTTCCTCCTGACACCGCCCTAACCCCCCAGCGTTGCTGCCAGGAGCTGAGGCCGGTAGACTGAGCATTTGAGCAACCTGAGTGGATTTGCTCTCATCAGTGGTCACGTGAACCCAAGGATGGTTTAGAACTAATAGGAAACTTGGAGGACTCCTCCCGCTGACAAGGTGCCTGACACCCCAGTGTCGGCACCAGGGGCAGGGAGCCCAGGCTGCTGGGGGCATCGGCTGTTGGCAGAGGACGCGCCAGGACATCCCGGGGGTGCCGGGGGTCGAGCAGGTTGTCACTACGCGTTCCTGGGCCTTCCTAAAGGAACGCATGGGTGGTGGAGGCCCTGTGAACGGCAGCCCCACCTCTGCAAACACACAGCTCTGAGCTGTGTTTCATCACAGAAGCACTCTTCCACAAACTTGTTAAAAGCTGGGCAAGGCCAGGCTTGTAGGCTGGCAGAGCCTGAGGATGGCTTTCCTGCTCCTCCGATGGCCTTGGGTCTTAGATGTCAGGGGACACTTCTGGCTGTTTCCTCTGGTGCCCCATCCCCCATGCCCCCTCCTCCCCTTCCCTGAAGCTGTGATGGGAGCTAGAGAAGCCAGGACACTGGAGGTGGGGACCGTAGGGACAGGAACTGAATCTTTGTCCAACCACTTCACGAACTGATCTTTTCTCAGGGTTTGTTCGTGTATGATCGCTGTGTAATGCCACACCTGATGAAGCCTGTTCTAGGGCTTCTGGGGTGTTTGGGGTCCTGTTTAGAGAAATGAGGATGAGACCAATGGTAATGGATTGTCCTACCTATGAGCTCACCTCCGGACCCCATTCTCTCCTCTCAGGAAGGTGTGGTGTCTCCGGGTGACCTTGACCTCGTCATGTCAGATGGCCTGGGCCTGCGGTACGCGTTCATCGGGCCCCTGGAGACCATGCACCTCAACGCGGAAGGTAGGGGCTGCTGAGGGGTCTGTGCCAGTTGCTGCTATCATGGTTTGTAAACAGGCTTGCCTTTTCTTAAAACTGAGGAGATGCAGCACCATGTAAGAGACGCTGCCTGGAAGTGTGTGTCATGTTTTTCTTTTTCTTTCTTCCTTTTTTTCTCCTTGAGAAAAATAATTCAGATATCACAAGAAATTAATAGGAAGACACTGAGAACAGTTAATTCTCAAACAAATAGAAACAGAAGCTGATGAAACTTGAGAACAAACAGCATGCAGACAGGAAGGAGGCCCGCGACAATTTTTCAAACAAAGCAGCTGATAAGAAAGCCTAATTGACTGACCGTGATAGTGGTGGACAGATGTAGCTTTCAACTTCAGAGCATTCCAGGGAGCAGAGGGAGTCAGTTCTGAGATCTGGCTCAGGACCGTGGACATGTGCGTGATTCCTCACTGTGCCACCAGAATGTATTGGGAATGCCTCCTTTTGGGTGTAGTTTTCATAAAGCCAGCATCTCAGGTTAAGGCTGGTTACTGGTCTTAAAAGCTATAGTTTATCTGGAAGTGGTAGAGATATTTTAGGATGTGTTTTTAATCTAATAAAATAGTGCCTGAGAAAGAGAAGGCCAGCGTGCCTACTCCCCTGTGAAGTGCCAACTGTGGCCGGCGGGGCCCCACTGGACTTGCAAGCTACATGACCTCGTGCAGGTCAGTTCACTGCACCTCAGTTTACCCACCTGTAAAACTGGTACAGCAGCCGTGACCTTCACAGGGGTGGTGTGAGAATAAGCTGGATGGAGACACTGGGCTTGAGTCAAAAACGGTGAGATGAGCTAAATCTAATCTCATGAGAATCTGTTTTCCCCCCATCTTTTCTTATTCTGTATAAGCAGCTCTTAAGCAGTTGGGTTCAAAGTCTTCTTTTTGGAGGGAGAGGGAGCCTGTGCCATGCAGCATGAGAGATCTTAGTTCCCTGACCAGGGCTCCAACCTAGGCTCCCAGCAGTGGAAGCATGGACTTGTAACCACTGGACCGCCAGGAAACTCCCTCAGGGTCTTCTAGAAACCTAAGCTCTGTGAGTGCTTGTGAGCGGATGTTGTTGACCAAGCAGAGGGCATGGCTGCAAAGGAGATGGGGGCGGGAGTGGGCAGCTGAGTGGGGTAAAAGGTGAAGTGGCTTTTTTCCTTCACATTGTCAGTGAGATCGTTATTCCAGAGTAATTCCCATACCACTCACTGTCATGGTGTAGAGAAGCCAAAGCTACAGTTGGAAATAAATTAAAACCCTCCTTTTTGACTCTAATGGGAGGGGAGAACTTTCCTTCACTGGACCTTCCTTCACAGCACGGGTTCCAAGTCGCCACAGACTTCCTGTGTCTGGAGTGAGTGCAGGCTACTGGCCTAGCAGACAGTGGGCGTTTATCCGAGAGCTGAGGGCCTGCTGCAGAAAGTTTTCTTATATTAGTAGGACTGAAATACTAATTGGTTTTCGAGCAAGTTGGGGAGGAATTATGAATTGTTTAAGAGTTTTACTGTATTTTATTCTGTTCTGAAGAAATGAAAAGCTCTTTTAAAACTACAAATTTTATAAAAGGCAGTAGGAAAAAAGGTACGAGAAAGCCCCTGGGATTCTCAGATGACTTCACTGGGGCCAGGAGAGACATGAAGTAGCCGGAGGTGAAACAGGGCACCTGAATTGCGTCCCGAGGCTCATGGTGGGGGAGGAGGGGCAGAGCAGCTCGTTTTCCCCCAAAGTGGGTGAGCTCACAACTACAGCACACCTGCCTGCTCTCTCCTCTCAGTCTTTCCAGCGTTTTCTGTTGGGTATCTCTGCTCCCTCAAAATGGGTAAGCTGTGTTTGTGCCTAGATTGTATCACCTTTAGTTTGAATAAACCTACGAATAGGCAAGGTGAAGTAAATATTTAATTTCCAAAAGTACGCAAATGTTTGGGGCATTTTCCACGTTGCAGAGATGCTGCATATCCAGGAGAACTGGTGGAGGTCGGGGGGGCCTCCCCAAGCTCTGAACTGTCCCCCATGCTTCTGGTAAATGCAGTGAAACCCTTCAATTTAAAAAGGAGTGTCTGGAGCTTAAGTGCAGGTGCTGATGTCAGAAAAGTAGTGTGTTTGAATTTTCACCCATCGGATCACTTTCTCTTCTAAGACAAAGTGGGTGTCATCCTTCTCAGAGAGAAGGGAAATGATTTGAGCCAAATGCAGTTGAAATCAGTGAATTTAAGCTTTCACACAGATGTAGATACACAAAAACTAACCCCACAGAAGTTATGAGTCTTTTTTTTTAAGGCGTGTCCATTGGAGATCACTTTTAAGTGAATCATGCAGTGTATGTGATCCTTGGAGGAGGGCATGGCAACCCACTCCAGTATTCTTGCCTGGAGAATCCTGTGGACAGAGGAGCCTAGCGGGCTACAGTCCATGGGGTCATACAGAACCGGACACAACTGAAAGGACTTAGCATGCACGCACATGCAGTGTCTGTGGGGCAGGTGTGAGCCCTGCTCTGGGTTGCTTCACATCCTGCAGTTTGTTTGTTCCCTGTTATCCTTTTAGCCTGCCTGACCAACTGCTGAGTCTCCCTGGTTCTGAAAGAGGCTGGCTGAGGGCCAGGGCAGCTCAGCAGGTTTGGAGGGGGGTTGCACTGGGCTCCTGTGAGACCTGCCCCGAGCGCAGGCCTGCACCGACCGGCCTAGCCTCCTTGCCTGGCGGGCAGGGGCAGGCTGGGCTGTGTGTGTGCGGAGCGGCCCGTCCAGGCAGGCCACCCCGTGTGCGGGCAGCCTACGGCTTCCTCTTGGAATCAGCCTCCCCCACGCACATCTGACACTGCCGTAAGAGTGGCGTCCCCTTTGCCCCTTCAGGGTCAGCCTCTGCTCCGCGTGCTTCTCCGCCGCAGACCGAGGATTCCGTCCTCCACTGAGGCCCGGTGTCAGCAGACGTGTTGGGAGGCGTGTGGTCGGGGGTCACCTGCAACCCCCAGGGCTGGTGGGGCCCTAACTTGGCGCCCACAGCCAGGCCTACCCCGTGGGGGTAAATAGCCCATGTTGAGAACCTGTTGCCCAGAAGATGAAAGACCAACTAGAGCCCCTGGTTAAGAGGCAAGTAGGGAATGGATGCAGTTGAACTTGCCATCTTTGGTTCTCAGGGAATGCATTTGAGTGGTGTACACAGGTGACCTCGTAGGCACATTGTTGAAGGAGACGTTTGTGGTGCAAAGAGGACTCATGTGACACTTGAGGACTCAGAGCTGACCTGGGCCATCCGAGGTCCTAGAGAGATGCTAACCCAGACACCGTGGGAGCCTGGAGGTCGGGTCGCTTCTCAGGACTTTAATGCTGGGAGAGGCTGAGTTCTGACCCCTATGTGGCTGAGCAGGGTGCGGGTCCCACCCGCGGGCCCTCGACACCCACAGGGGCCAGACCCTGCGGACACGCCCAGGTTTGGGTGGAGACAGAGCTCACTGACCCGGGGGTATTCTTGTTTCCTTCTGCTTCCAGGTATGTTAAGCTACTGTGACAGGTACAGCGAAGGCATGAAGCATGTCCTGAAGACTTTTGGACCCATTCCTGAATTCTCTGGGGCCACAGCTGAGAAGGTGCACCAGGTGTGTGAGCTCCTGCCTGCAGAAACAAGGTGTCGCTTGCAGCCGGGGTCTTTGCCTTGACCTCCAGGTTCCTGTTGCCGACTGTCCACGACCCCGTCAGTGTCACAGGGGACCCTGCGAGCAGTGTGACCAGAGAGCTGGCAGCTCACCCAGGCGTGTCCTGGGGAGCTATCCGCCCCCCTGGGTTTGGGGAGTTACATCAGTTGAGGGTTTGCCAGGTTTCTTCTGTCTCTGAAAGCAGATTCAAGAGTGTGCACAAATAGGAGTGGTTTTCCTTCTGCTTAATTAGTTGTCCTTCATGCTTCTTTCCCCTTTCTTCTCTCTTTTTTTCCCTTTCCCAGGCCATGTGCATGAAGGTTCCGGATGATGCAGAGCACTTGGCTGCCAGAAGGGCGTGGCGGGATGGATGCCTCATGAGACTCGCCCAGCTGAAGCACCAGCTACCCCAGTGATGCTGCGGTGACCACTGCCGCCCCCAGTGGGGACCACCAGCCCCCAGTCCCACAACTTTGAGACGACGGGGTTGGGGAGGGGGGCTGCAGGAGCCCGGCTGGGGGGAACCCTGCTTGCTGTCCTCACCCTGGCAGGTGCCTGGGGAGGGCGTGCCCCAGGCAGGGGTTAGTCACAGCCATTGGGGTCTGTGGGCCATGGATCCCCCCAACTCCCAGCAGATAAGAGAGCAAATCGTCCGAAGATTTGACTGCTTACTTTCATGTGATTCCACCTGTTTACATATCATGATCAGTGGTTGTAGTTTCAAGTCATTTTAATCTGCTGCGAAATGTTTTTGTAATTATTTTCTGATCTCTTGCTGAGGACCCTGTGGTCCTATACATTTGAGGAGTTCCCTTCATTTTTCTGATTCTTATTCCAAATAAAAGTGTTTGATTGCATAAAGACATCTTTTCTTCTGCTCTTTCTGGGAAAGACGTGTCCTGGTGATGGACATCAAGTGACCACGATAACCAGGTCGTAAAGCAGATGCTTTGTTCGGAGCTCCCTGTCTGCCGTTCGGTGAAAACCCACACTTTGGGCTGGTGTTTCCCATGGTGCTATTGGGGTCAGGGTCAGGCGTGTTGGGGAAGCCCCCTCTGAGGGTGGCGGACAACCCCCAGATGCCCCCACAGGGAGCACACGAAGATAACTATTACCCGGGCCCTGTGTCGCCTCAGCCTAGAGAAGGGCTTGGTGTGGGGGACGGTTCAGAAAGGGGTTCCTGAGGGTGACCGTGGGCTATGGAGGCTGCACCCAGGACTGAAGCTCTGGACCAGAGGCTGGGGCATGAGGCAGAGCAGCACCCTGCAGCGAAGGGCCCTGGAGCCCACAACCTTCCCCCGGGGCCGCCCCCTCACCCCCGTTCTAGCTCCCACCACATCCTCATCTCTGGACCTGCCCCAGCCTCCTAGCCTGAGAGGACAGCAGACAGGACAGAGGTCCTGTGCTCTCCTTTGGGACCCTCAGCTGCCCTGAGCTGGCCCAGGGCTGCCCAGCTGGGGCCACTCCCTTTGTTCCCACTGGCCCAGGGTGCCCTTCCAGGCGGCTCCCCTCCCCTGCCAGCCTCCTTCTGGCCAGGGCCGGGCTCCTGTTGGACAGCCTGCAGGACACCACGCCCTCCAGAAGAGCTGTAGCTGTCGCTTCTGGGCTGGGCCCTGGGGCTCAGCTCCAGCCTGCTCCGTGCTTGCTGGACCCAAGATGGGGTCCCTGGAGGGTCTCTTGGTGGGAGAGGAACACACATCCCCCACCGGCAAACGTTCACCTGTCCAGGTGACTCTGGACAGGTGGGAGGGACTCCGAGCCTCTCAAGGACGCTCCTGTCCTTCAAGGGCTTCGCAGCCATTCCAGCCCTGGGACTTGGGAGGGTTGTCCCAAAGCGTCCCTCAGCTGGAGGTGGTGACCTTTTGTTTCCTTCTCGGCAGGGCGGTCATTTGTATTCTGCTGAGGGAAGACTCTGTTCCCTTCCTTTTGGGCTGGCTTTTTTTTTTTTGGTTTCTCCTTTTTTTCAGATCTCTGAGCAAGGTCACTGCCCTTCCCCCAACACACCAGATTCCACACCTCCCCCTGAAGTCCTGCTGCTCCAGCCCCGCTCCTGCTGGCCATCAGCTCCCGGGCTGGAGAACATCTCTGGTCCAGGCCCCCCCTCCCGGCTCCCTGCACCGCACCCCCCCCACCATCCGCCACCCTGGTGGGTGCTGGGTTTCTGCCCAGTCCTACCTCTGGACCAACACAGTCTCTTCACTTACCATGAGGATCTCAAATGATCCCTTCACCTTTTTGGAAAAACTGCCTTTTAATTTTGTGTCCTTAGACACACCATGCTTTTTCTTTTTCTTTTTGTTTCTTCCTTTTTTGGGGGGATTGGGGTGTTTAACCTGAATAATTCCCAAAATAACTTCACTTCCACCACCCCTTTCCTTCCGGAAGCTGGCTAGAGACCAAAGTCTGCCTCCTAACCTGAGGCCTCTTATGAGGATGACCCTACAAGTCTCCCAGAGAGGAGACTGTGGATGCCGAGAGCTTCCCCTGTTGCTCTAAGTGTCATTGTGTAGAGGCTGCATTACTGTGCAGTGTGGATGAATAGACACAGGCCTGTGGACTGGGCCCAGAGCCCCTCAAAGGCAGGGCTGCAGGGCGGGCCCAGCTAGTAGGGGGCTGCTGGTCCCCCAGTCTCCCCGGGCTATTGTACCAGCATGAGCGTCCAGGGGCCACCTCTTCCCTGAAGCCCTCTGGGCCCTCTACCGTTCCCTCAAGACCTTGAGCGGCTGCGGCAGCACATGTCCGACCCCCAGCCAGCTGCAGGGGCCAAGGGATCATTCAAGTCTTGTTTCTGGGGGCATCTCACACAGAGCAGGTTTTCAACAAAACTGGCCCCACAAACAAATGGACTTGATGGTCCACTTCAGGCCTCTTCTGGTAACAACTGGGTGGGTGACTTGGAGCAACTCTCCACGGAGGACAAATGAGAAATGAGCCCACAGGGCTTCCCTAGAGGCCCAGTGGTTAAGAATCTGCCTTCCAATGCAGGGGACGTGGGTTCCATCCCCAGTCAAGGAGCTAAGATCCCATGTGTTAACAAAGCAACTAAGCCCGTGCACCACAACAGGGACCCATCGCAACCAAAAAAATTAAAAAGCAATGAGTACACAAACATCTTCTCAAACAGAAGAGCTAACACAAGACATGAGGAATCTGAGCCACATTCTGAAAACCCAGGAAGGACATGCACGCAAGGACACCTCTTGAACCACCAGGGTCGCCAGCCGGGCTCTCTCTGTGTCAGTAAGAAAAACAGACACCACGAGCTAAAGCACAACCAACGTGTCAAAGTCTGTGAGCTCCTAATGAAACTAAGAAATTAAGAAACCTTGTCAGTCGTGCTTGGAGCTTCACTCACACGCATGGTGCCCACTGGGGACCTGGGCTCCTGGACATAGGGCTGGTTCCTCTGTCCTTGGTTCCCTTTCCTAGGTGACCCACTGGCCCCAGGTGCCCCACTGACTGCCAGGCAGCTCTACAGGCCCATCGTGGGGGTCAGTTCCCAGCTCTAAGTCCCTAATGTCAGATCCATAGCCTGAAACCCTGCCCCAGGTTCATCACACTGTGCGTACACAGTGTGTACGCATGTGGACACAAGAACTTGCTAAGGCTCAGAATCAAGCCCTGTGTTTGGTGTACGCCTGTTTGTGTGTGTGTATTTGTGTGTGTGCATGTATGTGTGCTTGCGTGTGCATACGTGTGAGAGAAGGTTAAACACTCTCCAGCTTGGCATAGGCTGGCATCAACCTGCTGAGTCCTGGTTGGAAGGGACGAACCAGATGTCCTGAAACCACCACACAGGGACTCAGCTCTGCCTGGCTCTTGTGAAGAGATGGATTCTGGGTCTCTCAGAGTCCTGCTGACTCGGGGCCACCCCAGCAGGGCCCAGGGATCTGTGTTTTTGCTGGAATTCCAAGTAACGCAGGTGAGCAGCCAGCAGCCTCCCCCAACCCCTGACACCATCTTGAAATCTCTTCAAGGCCCTCGGGGGCCCGTCTGACCCTGGGGACCCTGACTTGGGAGTCAAATCTGCCTCCTGGATTCAACTAACCCTTGGTTAGTCAATCCCTCTAACCCTTGGCTCCCATCAGTCATGAACCAGCTTCCTGGCCTGCTGACTTCTGACTCGCCCTTTCCAGAACCCCTGGTACAACAGACCTCCTCTGACTTGATCATGGGATTTCCCTTATACAACTGGAAAGGCAGCTGTGTTTCAAGAAAATGGTACTTTCCATCAGGAAGAGAAAGGGGATCTCCCAAGTATGTGGGCTGCAAGTAAACTGTGCCCTTGAGACTTGGTGGCAGGTACATCATGTTAGACTCCCCATGAAAGCCTAGGCAACTGGACCTGGTTCGACGTTTGACACTTCCAGGGCTCAGACACCTGCCACGTAGGCAGCGTGATCCCAGAAAGAAACAATGGAGGAACACCTCACCAGACTGGGTCTGGAAGCCAGAGTCCATGGCGGGCCAGCTCAGAAAATGCTGTTGACGGAGTGAGAAAAGCTTACACTGATATTAGCACACCTTTGAAAATGGAGCCAGTAATTCTTGTCTAAGACTAAGAGTTGGGGAAACTTTCTGATGTAATGTAGGAAAACACAGGCCACCTGAACTCAGCACCCTTCCTGGTGTTAAGGCCACTGCTGTTACTGTGCCTGATACAATGAATCCTTCAAAAAAATACTTATTCCACTCAAACCCTCAACACAGCTGAGTAAACTGCCTTGCTCAGCATGGTAGGAAGGTGCTTAACTCTTGTCAGGTCCATCTTGATTATGCTACATTCCAGGTATTTTTGCTTGTCTATTGCTTTTCTAAAAATGACTTTTTGGGTGATTGTGAATAAGCTGTGGAGACTTTGACTTGTCTCATCTTCCTCTGTCATGGGTTGCTCATGGGGTGGTGGGGGCAGTCAGTTTCTGGCAGGGCCTCAGGCCTGTGGGCTCCAGGTGTCCCTCTTATGGGGCATGGCCTTAAGCTGTGGCTGAGCTGTAGTCCATCTGATTTGTCAGGAACAGCCTGTGGGTTCACTGAGCCCCGTCCCTGAGTACAGGCTCAGGGCGCTTGGGCCTCCACCTCTTGCACAGACTGGTGAGGACAGAGGGAAAACACATTGAGTCAGAGCTGCCCCCTCCATCTGCCCTGGCTCTTGGAACATTCACCTCTGTCTTCAGCCCAATTCGATGGCCACTTTCTGCTCAAGCACCTGTTTTGCTTTGTATTCGGTGACTGGCTGGCTGGTCAGTGTAGAGCTGGCCGGGGTCCCGTCCTCCTGTGGGGAATAGGCTGCGCCTGCTCCTGCCCTTCAAACCACTGGTCCTTATGCCTGACCACTCTGTTATGATCATGAGGATGGTTAGTCCAACCCGAGCCCCGCTCCATAGCTGGAATCAGAACCCCCTGAGCAGCTTTGAGA